TTGGTAATTTTGGGTAGGTATCACATACTATGTAAAATCTAATACTAACTCTTGTAATATATTAAATAAAAGGTCTTTGAGCTGTCTTGTTAATGGAAATTTTTCCTAGGTAGTTTTTCTTCTGTCATTTTTCCTCAGCTTCCTCTCTCTGTCTGATTTTCCTTTCCATTCAGGCTGCTTACCTTTATCTCCAAATGCCCACTGAGTTCTTTGGCAGAGCATTTTCACTATGTCTTTAACTGTGTCTTTTTTTTTTTTTTTTTTTTAAAGATTTACTTATTTATTTGAGAGAGAGAGAACACAAGGGCAGGGTGAGGGGCAAAGAGAGAGAGAATCTCAAGCCTACTTCCCACTGAGCACAGAGCCTGACGTGGGGCTTGATCTCACCACCCTGAGATCATGATGTGAGCCGAAATCAAGAGTTGGAAGCTTAACCAACTGAGCCACTCAAGTGCCCCTAACTGTGTCTTTTTCCACCATATTCAAGCTCTCTACAGGATAGAGAAAAATCTGCTATCTGACTTTGAAGATTCTGGTCTCTTTTAATGATCTTAGTAAGTTTGGGCTGCTATAATAGAATATCACAGACTTATTATATACAATAGAAATTTGTTTCTTATGGTTCTGGAGGCTAGAAATGTGAGATCAGAGTGCCGGCATGGTTGGATTCTGGTGAAATTCTCTTCCGGGTTGGGGGCTGCTTACTCCTTGCTATGTCCTCACATGGTGGAAGGGGGGCAAGGAAGTTCTTTGGGGCTCATTGTATAAGGGTACTAATTCCACTCATGATGGTTCCACCCTTAAAGGTCCCACTTCCTAATATTATAACTTCGGGGGCTAGTATTTCAACTTACGAGTTTTGGGGGGACACAAACATTCAGTCCATTGCAATGATCATATGAATTATTAAGTATGTGAGTTCTTCCTCCCTCCCTCACCGCTTCCCCGTGTGACCCTTCAGCTAATTGTTAGTGAATGCCTACTGTATGCCAGCCACTGTTCTAGCAGGAGATACAAGACAGACAAGTCCTGCCTTCACTGAGGTTACGTTCTGGTGGAAAATACAGTACAATAAATAAACACATCAGGTAATGTGAAGTAATGGTAGGTGTTATAAAGAAAACTAAAGCGTACTGAGATCCAGAGGGGTGCTGTTTGAGATCGGATGATCAGGCAAGGTTTCTCTGAGAGTGCGGTGTTTGAGCAGAAATTTGAGTCAAGTAAGCAAAACATGCAAATGTGTGGAGGAAAAAAGTTCCAAGACAGAGAATAGCAGGTGCAAAGGTCCTGTCACATCTCGGATTCTCCAGAAAGCAGATGTTGAGACAGAGTTGGAAGGACAAAGGATTTATTGGGGAGTAACACCCGTGAAAGGGAAAGGAAAGAAATAGGATTGGGCAGATGAGCCATCAGACTTGCACGCACCTGTCAAATTCAGTACACCAAGGAGAGCTGCAGTGGGTGGAGGAAACGAACAGGCCTTTCTGCCCACCTTTGCTCAGTCATTTGACCAGGGACTGTCCTGAGAACAGGGTGCTCTCAGCTGAGTGAGGAAAGGTGGACCTTGAGGAAACAAATGCTGGAGCTGTAAGTTGACCATGCTTCTTGTAGGTTGGGCAGAAATTCCTTTCTTTGAAGGGGAATCTTGGTGGTCCAGCTCTGTTTCTGCCATAGGCCCTAAAACAGAAATATGCTCAGTCTGTTCAAGGAACTGCAAGAAGGCTAATATAGCTGGGGAAGCCTGGGCAGGAGGGATGGGGTCATGGCCGGAGAGGTAGCAGAGGGCTAGAGCAAGCGGCATCCGCGGCTTTGGGAAGATGCTGGGTTTCATTCTAAGTTTGGTAAAAAGCCATTAGAGGATTTCGAGCAGGGGCATGACATATGTTTTACATTTTGAAAGGACTGCTCAGCCATAGCCATTGTATCTGTTTATCTATTGCTCTACAACAGACCACTTCAAAACTGAATGGCTTAGAACAACAGTGGCTTATTTTTTCTCAGAGTTCTGTGAGTGTCCTGCTAGACTCACCTGAACTCACTCACTTGGCTGGATCTGAGTGGGTTTTTTTTTTTTTTTTTAAGACTTTATTTATTTATTTAACAGATAGAGATCACAGGCAGACAAAGAGGTAGGCAGAGAGAGAGGAGGAAGCAGGCTCCCCGAAGAGCAGAGAGCCCAATGTGGGGCTCGATCCCAGGACCCTGAGATCATGACCTGAGCTGAAGGCAGAGGCTTTAACCCACTGAGCCACCCAAGGCGCCCCCTGGATCTGAGTGTTTTAAGATGGCTTCACCCACAGGTTTGGACCTCACCTGGGACAGCTACAGACTGGGATGGCTAAGCCTCTCTCCATTTGTTCTTTCGTCCTCTGCTTTTTCATCTGAAGGTGGAGGTGTTCCAAAAAGTCAAGCCCTACTGTGTAATGTTCCCTTGGCTTAAAGCAAGGCAGTTGTCCAAGCCCAGAGTCAGCATGGAAGGAGAATGTACAAGCGTGTGGATATCTGGAAATGTGATTCATGGAGGCCACTGCTGTAACAGTTACCACATTGAACATTGTTGTAGTTACTTCCCTTTTTCTGATCCTCTGCTCATCAGTTTATCTTCTGCGTATAATTTAGTTTCCTACATACGTGTGTTTCCAAAAAATAATGCACCAGTCACATAGACTTCACATATTTCCTACTGCTGCAATAGCAATTTTTTATTGTAAAAGAATACATTGGCTGGTTTCAAGGACAAAATGCCCTTTGCTTATTTCTTCCTAGAGCAGTGTGGCCTGGGGACCCTCCTAGCTAAGAATGATTGTGCCACTGTGATAATTCTCAAGACTGTAATGGTGTATGTGTAAATGTGTGACTCCTCTAACTTCCACTGGTGACGGAGCTGCATTGAGATTTTTTTAAAAATTGTGTTGAACTAAGGAATTCTCATTCATTGCTGGTGGGAATGCAACATGGTACAGCTCCTTTGGAAGATGGAGTGGAAAACTAAACATACTCTCACCATACTATTCAGTAATTGGTACTCCTTGATAGTTAACCCAAATGAGTTGAAAACTTAAGAAGCAACATGGACGGGACTAGAAGAGATTATGCTGAGTGAAATAAGTCAAGCAGAGAGAGTCAATTATCATATGGTCTCACTTATTTGTGGAGCATAACAAATAGCATGGAGGACAAGGGGAGATGGAGAGGAGAAGGGAGTTGAGGGAAATTGGAAGGGGAGATGAACCATGAGAGACTATGGACTCTGAAAAACAATCTGAGGGTTTTGAAGGGGCGGGGGGTGGCAGGTTGGGGGAACCAGGTGGTGGGTATTGGAGAGGGCACGGATTGCATGGAGCACTGGGTGTGGTGCAAAAACAATGAATACTGTTACGCTGAAAAGAAATAAAAAATTAAAAAAAAAAAGAGAACACTTAAGTCCACACAGAAATGTGCATACAACATTTTAGCAGCTTACTTCGTAACTGTCAAACCTTGAAAACAATGAAGGTGTCCTTTAGTAGGTGGATGGATAAATAAACTGGTAGTATCAAGGTAACGGAGTATTATTCAGCACTGAAAAGAAATGATCTGTTGAGCCATAGAGGAAACTTAAACACATGAAGAAGCCAATCTGAAAAGGCTACATGCTATATGATTCCAACTATATCATGTTCTGGAAAAGGCAGATTGTGGATACAGTAAAAAGATTGGGTTCTGGAGTTTTGAGGGGAGGAATGGATGAGTAGTCATAGCACAGAGGACTTTTAGGGCAGTGAAACGATTCTGTATATAATAATGTTTGGTACATTCCATTATGTGTTCATCTAAGTCCATAAAATGTACAAGACCAAGAGTGAACTGTAAATTAAGTGATAGGGACCCTTCAGTGTATCTTCATCAGCTGTAACAAATGTGTCTCTCTGGTGAGGGATGTTCAAAGTGGGGGAGGTTGTGCATTTGTGGGAAAAGAGGTACGTGGGAATTCTTGGTACTTTCTGCTCAGTTGTACTGCCCAAATCTAAAACTGCTCTAAAAAATAGTCTGATTTAAAAATGTACTGAACCAGTAGTTCATCATTTTCTCCCAATAATTCAGCTTGGTATCACTCATTATGATATAAACTTTGTAAACCATTTGGCAAGAATTTAATGTTGTGATTTAATGTTGATGTTCAATGTTTTTAGTGAATTAGTGATATAATTGTTGACCTATCTACTTATTTTTATAGCTGGTGGGTGAAGAGAAAAAGGACATACACATTTGATTGTTTAATAAACTTCTGTTTATTAAATTGTTTAATAAACTTTTAAAAAATTCATATTGTCTCCCTGTCTTAATATGGAACAGGTATGTGGAGGTCTTTGTTGTTCCTTTTTTGTTGTTTAGTTCAGTATTTATTTATTTTTTAAGACTTTTTTATTATTATTATTTTTTACAGCAGTTTCAGGTTTACAGCAGAATTGAGAGGAAGGTACAGAGAATTCCCATATGTCCCTTGCGATCACACATCCCCCCTTATCAGTATCCTCCCACCAGAGTGGTATGTTTGTTTCAGTTTGTTACATCATATATATATATATATTATATATAATATATATATATTATGTTCAGTTAGCCAACATATAGCATGTCATTAGTTTTTGATGTAGTGCTCAACAATTCATTAGCATATTAGCATAGTGCCCTAAAAATCCTTTGTGTTCAGCCGGATGTTCCTCCCCCAGTATTTTTATTTTTCATTATTATAATAATTATTCATTATTATTATTACTTTTCATTAGACAAACTGTGGACTTCATTAACTGTGTATCAGCCCTTGTAATTTTTACAGGTTGACTTCACTGAATCAGGTCAAGGTTTCTGTGTTACATAGAAAGCAGAAATATTGTGAAGGAAAACATATGTTTTTGGTAGTGATACAGATTACTTAAAACACAATACGAAGAATTCTGTATTCTTCCTCCTGAAAATTAGTAATCAGTACTCTTAAAGTATTTTCTGTGTTTTGCCAGATACTGACAATATGAAGCCCTTGGAGGGTGTAAAAATTCTGGATCTAACAAGGTTTGTATTGGTTTTTCTGTGTTTTGGTGATTGAAGTTTTCCCTTCTTTCAAAAAAAAAATACATTTATTTTTTGAATTATATTGCTTACTATCAAAGTTTTAGAAAGGAAAACAGAAAATTTTTTATATTTCATAATTCTAAGAGCAATAAGTATATTTGTGCATTTTTTCCAATCTGCATATTTATATATAACTTTTAAAAACAAAAATTGGAACCATATTGAAATTATAGTCTTGGGGGCATCTGGGTGGCTCAGCCGGTTGAGCATCTGCCTTTGGCTCAGTTGCTCAGCTGCTTCTCCCTCTCCCTCTGCCCCTACCCTTGCTCATGCTCTCTCAAAAAATAAAATCTTTAGGGACGCCTGGGTGGCTCAGTTGGTTGGACGACTGCCTTCGGCTCAGGTCATGATCCCGGGGTCCCGGGATCGAGTCCCACATCGGGCTCCCAGCTCCATGGGGAGTCTGCTTCTCCCTCTGACCTTCTCCTCGCTCATGCTCTCTCTCACTGTCTCTCTCTTAAATAAATAAATAAAATCTTAAAAAAAAAATCTTTAAAAAAATTGAAATTACAGTTTTGCCCACATTTAAAAGACAATCTTGTATTTTGAGTGTTTTTCTGTGTCATTCAAAATTCCAGAAAAATGTGAGATGATACTTTATTATATAGTTGTCATAAAATTACTCTTCCCCTAATATTTCACAATTACAAATTAAGTTTCCTTTTTCATAAATCCTTGCCTCAGGAAATCTTAGAATTTCTTCCTTAGCATAGAATTCTGGAAGTGGAATTACTTCATGAATCAATGGGAATATACTTTTTTTGAAAGATTTTATTTATTTATTTGAGAGATAGCACGGGTGCTCATGATGGAGGAGAGGCGGAAGGAAAAGCAGGCTTCCCGCTGAGGGGCTCGGTTCCAGGACCCTGAGCTCATGACCCCAATATCATGACCTGAGCTGAAGGCAGATGCTTAACTGCGTCACCCAGGCACCCCACGGGAATATACTTTTTTTTTCTTTTTAAAGTTTTTATTTATTTATTTGACAGAGACACAATGAGAGAAGGAACACAAGCAGGGAGAGTGGGAGAGGGAGAAGCAGGCTTCCCACCGAGCAGGGAGCCCAATGCGAGGCTCAATCTCAGGACTCTGGGATCACGACCTGAGCCAAAGGCACATGCTTAAAACTGAGCTCCCACGTGCCCTGGGAATATACATTTTAAAGCTCTGAATACATAGTGCCAAATTGCTATTTTTGAACAGTTTTAATAATTTTAATTCTTACTATAATTATATGAGTTTATCTATGTTAGTGAGCTATTAAGAATTAATATAAAAATCTGCAAGGTGGTAATTATTTATCATTGTTAATATTGTAGAGTACTGGCGGGACCTTTTGCTACTATGAATTTAGGAGATCTTGGAGCAGAAGTTATAAAAGTGGAAAGACCAGGTAAAGCTATTGCTCTCTTTAAAACATAGAAACTAATACAAATTTTTCTTTTTTAAAGATTTTATTTTTAAGTAATCTCCACCCAACGTGGGGCTTGAACTCATAACCCTGAGATCAAAAGTCACATGCTCCTCCAACAGAGCCAGCCAAGCTCCCCAAACTACTACAGTTTTTAGCTGTTTTTTAAAAAAATAACTGTATGTCTGTATATGGGATGACGGGAGAATTAAAATGAAATGATTATTTTTTTTCCTCTCCATTCCTTACTTTCCTCTGAACCCATACTAGTGATTTCTTCTTACTCATTTTTAAAAAATATTTTATTTATTTAACAGAGAGACACAGCAAGAGAGGGAACACATGCAGGGGGAGGGGAGTGGGAGAGGGAGAAGCAGCCTTCCCACCAAGTGGGGAGCCCGATGCGGGGCTCGATCCCAGGATACTGGGATCATGACCTGAGCCGAAGGCAGACGCTTCACGACTGAGCCACCCAGGTGCCCCTTCTCTTACTTTTTATAAGTGCCAGGTTTTAAGGCTTTAGCCAGGCCCTTCACACATACCTGAAAACCTCCAGTAGAGACTGAGATGCACCATGCAGCGACAGTGATGCTAGACTTGCAGTGACAGGCACAGGTCTTAACACGAGGCCTGTATTAATTTATTTAATCTCTGCTACAACCTTATGGGCTGACCCTGTATTATTCTAAGATTATAAATACAGAGAAACAGAGACATAAAGCAGTTTGTCCAAAGTCACACAGCTGATCAGGAATATCCACGCACTCACCCTGGTCCGGCCCTCCATAGCCCCCCACAAGCCTACCGTTGAGACTGACTTTAGAGCTGGCTTGACCACCCTTCCTTGCTGGGGGATGGAGGGAAGGCCAGGAGGAGGGGAGGGTAAAATGGAAGAAGCAGGACACACAGGAAGAGGAGAAGGAAAAGGAATCTGTGTCCTTCCAAAAGGAACCCAGATACTCCAATATAAGTCATTCTTTTCTGTTTTTAATAAAAGAAACATTTTCTCATTTTATAATTGTAAGCATTTTGAGAGAGGAACACTGAAACTGAGATCAGTTCTTTGGGTTTGTTTTTCATCACATCTTTCCCATTTTTCCTTTCCTCTTGGTCCACCAAATAAATCTATTCGGTGTATACAATTCTCACTTTTATTTGGTGCCTTCTTAGTATTTGGGTGTTTAGCTCATGCTATTATTGAAAGTTATTTCAGTACTTACTATTGAAAGAAATTATTGTATGCTCTTTCTCTCCTATAAGCACTTAAAGGGCAGAGTCCATCTTCTTCATGTCCTCCGTATCATCCTATAAGGAGCTCGTTTTGGAAGGTTTCAAAACTTAGCATTATTATTTATTCTTCAAGTTGGATCCTTATGGATTGGAACAGAATTACCAAATTAGTGAAAATGGCCTAGCCTTAATAGTATGAGTATATCTGCAAGACTCATAAAAGACTAGTTTATAATTACATCACCTTATTAATTTCCCAGAAGTGATTAAACACTATAAAGTAGAAGACATGGTGTAGAAGATTCAACTTTCTGCTTATTAGATTTCTTAGGAGGCCAAAGCAATCAGCAGAAGATTCTCTGATCAGCATGGGGAATACTCTGTTATTATTATATCGTATTTATTTGACCCTGTGTTTATCAGGCTCCGGATGGTGGAAGAGTCTGGTGAACCCTGCTTTCCAGATGTAACGAAAGCTTCATTTACCTGGTCACTGATGTTCATCACATTTGGTTATTGTGGGATGCGTGCTGAATAATGTTTGCTTTCTGGTTGAATACCCTTTTTGTCTTTTCCAGGTTTCATAAAACTTTGATTTCCATGTTATTATGCAAATTCAATACCACGGCACTTTCTCCTTTCAGCCATTGGGTCTTCCCGTCCTAGACAGAGCATCAGGTCTACTTTCTCTTGCTATTTCAGTTGATCACTAATCTCAATGTTTATGTTTATATTAATTTTAGAGATCATCATTCCCTCTTTATGTAGGCCTTATTTCTCCTTTGTACGTTTTCCTTTCTTCAGTAGGGAGTACCTTCCTTTGTCTAGGCCTTTACATCCCATAGCCATACACTTGGGATTGAGCTTTGTTCCTAGTAGGTCGTTGTTCATTGTTTTTTTCCTGATTGGTCTCTTTCCCTTAATCCTTCTGCGTGATGCATTTTATTTAATTAATTAATTTATTTTTAAAGATTTTATTTATTTATTTGACACAGAGTAAGAGAGGAGAGAGTGAGAGAGAGAGAGAGAGAGAGAGAGAACACAAGCAGGGGGAGTGGGAGAGGAAGAAGCAGGCTCCCCACTGAGCAGAGAGCCCAACGCAGGGCTGGATCCCAGGACCCCAGGATCATGACCTGAGCTGAAGGCAGCCGCTTAACAACTGAGCCACCCAGGCGCCCCGCATGATACATTTTAATGTTCCTATTATGTGTTTAACTGTTTCGGGTTTTGAGATAGTTAGTCAACACAGATCTGAGGAAGAGTAATTTGGCAGGATTTTCAAAGTTCAGGAGAGAATTAGTCTTTTCTCAGGCCACTCCTCTACTCCTTCCTTCCCGCTTGCTTGCTTGCTACCTTCTTTCCTTCCCTCCTTCCTTTTTAAAAAAATTTTTTTATTTATTTGAGAGCGAACGAACATAGCAGGGGGAGAGGCAGAGGGAGAGGGAGAAGCAGAGTCCCCACTGAGCAGGGAGCTGATGCAGAGCTCAATCCCGGGACCCTGGGATCATGACCTGAGCTGAAGCAGACACTTAACCGACTGAGCCACCCAGGTTATAGCTTTCTGATTTGGGACTTAGACTGTTCTTACTTTTGTAATCAAAGAGCCCGTAGATTTTCTTTCTCTTCTTTCTGTAGTTACTTAGCTGGGCAACGTGGACTAGGGAGGGCAGCAAATGATTCCTTAGGCAGGAATATGAGGGCAGAGGTGTGTGCGGTCCTTTGTTCACTGCTGTTTCTACTCTGCCTGGAGCACTGTCTGTGACGTAGTAGGTGCTCAATAAATATTTGCTGAATGGATTGAATGTGTCAAAATATCTTTTAAGAAGAGCGGTCTGGGGGCGCCTGGGTGGCTCAGTGGGCTAAAGCCTCTGCCTTTGGCTCGGGTCGTGATCCCAGGGTCCTGGGATCAAGCCCCATATCGGGCTCTCTGCTCAGCAGGGAGCCTGCTTCCCCCTCTCTCTCTGCCTGCTTCTCTGCCTACTTGTGATCTCTGTCTGTCAAATAAATAAATAAAATCTATTAAAAAAAAAAAAGAAAAGCAGTCTGAAATTTTATATGAGATCTCCAGACTTTGAAATCATGGCAGCTAATTAAAAACTTTAAATTTTGTGTGGGTCCGTCCAATAAAACATCTTTCAACTGTCAGTTTTCCCAGTTGGTGACCTTTAGCCTTTATTTCTTGTCCATGCTGATTCTTTTCAGGGACCACTGATCCTCTCTAAAGCCCTGGGTAGGAAAACCATATAGGCCTCCAATTAAGATTCCTGACATTATTTCCACTTTGAGAGATGAATGTAAACACGTAAAATTACCTAATTTTAGCCCTACCTTGACGTTGCTTTATTTTAAGAAAATTAGTGTATTGAAAGCTTCAGGAGAGTAGAAGTGGCTGGACTTTCTCTTTACTCCGAGAGGTCCTGTCTGATCCTGAAGATCCAGATTCACACCTGCCGTGAAGCCTCTTACTGGTTTATTCCTGGAAGAGTGCCTTTTTGGGATCGTATAGTTCACTTTTTCCCCTTTTATTTTGAGCATGCTATTCCATTTGATGCTTACCATGATTTCTTTGTTTTGTTATTGGTTCATCTCCAGTTAGAGATAATGTGTCTTCTTTTTTTGTTCAGATTTTATTTATTTATTTATTTATTTATTTGAGAGAGAGAGTGGGAGCGAACGAGTGGGGGAGGGTAGGAAGGGAGAGGGAGAAGCAGACTCTCAGCTGAGCAGGGAGTCTGACAGGACACGGGGTTCAATCCCAGGACCCTGGGATCATGACCTGAGCCAAAGGTAGACGCTTAATGGACTGAGCCACCCAGGTACCCCTGGAACTAATGCTTCTTTTCTCCTCTGGCCTGTGTTCTGTTTTTTCTCTTGGGAAGTTGTTGTTATTATTTTTATTTTTTTAATAAATGAGTCTATTCTTTGGCCTCTGTTTTGCTTTCCAAAAGGTTATGTCTGCTTTTCCTGATCAGTTTTAGTGGTAAAGTTTAATGGGCTAATAGGTTAATTATATTATTTAGATTAATTATATTATTTAGATTATTAGAATTTTAAGTCTAACCCATATTCACAAATAGTCTCTTCTTGGGGGCCAGTTTTTAATTGTAATTACTTATATAGTGATTAGTTTCTTTTTTAAAAAGATTTTTATTTATTTATTTATTTGACACAGAGAGAGACACAGTGAGAGAGGAACACAAGCAGGGGGCTGGGAGAGGGAGAAGCAGGCTCCCCACCAAGCAGGGAGTCCGAAGCTGGGGTCCATCCCAGGACCCTGGGATCGTGACCCGAGTGAAAGGCATACACTTAACGATTGAGCCATCCAGGCACCTCATAATGATTAGTTTCTGATACCAATATTTAATCAGGCCTTATATTATGAGATTTTTAAATGATACTATTTTGTGCCATTTAATCATTGATGGATTTTCTGAGTTCTGTCTACATTGTCAGTTGCTTTTTTTGCTAAGGAAAATTTTTCTGTAACTCTATAGTTACAGAATCTAACACAAACATATGACTTGAAGTAGATGTCCAGAAAAAAACACCATATATTTTGATGATTTTAAACTTCTCCTTTGAAGCAAGACCTAGGTGACTAAAGTTTTATTCTAGAATACAATTGGAAATTAAATGAATCTGCTGTTCAGTAACTTATTTTGCCTCTCATGATTTGTTGCTATAACACAAATTTTTTTCCTAATTGTATTGAGAAATAATCAACATACATCATTGTATAAGTTTGAGGCACATGGCATGATGGTTTGATTTACGTACATCGTTACCACATTATTACCACAGTAGGTTCAGCTAACATCTGTCCTCTCATGGAGATATGATAAAGGAAAAGACAGAAGAAAAGAAAAAAGGAAAAAAAATTCTTCTTATGATGAGATCTTTTAGTATTTGCTTTCTTAAAAAATTTTCTATATAACATATAGCAGTGTTATATGTTACACCTTTTGACCACCTTCCTCCAGTTCCCTCCGCCTGCACCCTCCACCTCTGGTAACCACAAGTCTGATCTCTTATTCTGTGAGTTCATTTGTTTTTTATTTTTTTAAATTCCACATATAAGTGAGATCGTACAATATTTGTCTTTGTCTGACTTATCTCATTTAACATAATGCTTTCAAAGTCCATCCATGTTGTCACAAATGGTAGGATTTCCTTATTTTTTATGGCTTAATAGTATTCTGTTGTGTATATATACTACAACTTTATTGATGGATGCATGCATCAATGGGCACAGGTATTTCCATACTTGGCTATTGTGAATAATGCTGCTATGAACATAGGGTTGCATATCTTTTTGAGTTAGTGGGTTTTTTTTTTTTTTAAGATTTTTATTATTTATTTGACAGAGAGAGATCACAAGTGGACAGAGAGGCAAGCAGAGAGAGAGAGAAAGGAGGAAACAGGCTCCCTGCGGAGCAGAGAGCCCGATGTGGGACTCGATCCCAGGACCCTGAGATCATGACCTGAGCTGAAAGCAGAGGCTTAACCCACTGAGCCACCCAGGTGCCCTGAGTTAGTGTTTTTGTTTCCTTTGGCTATATTCCTAGAAGAAGAATTGCTGGATCATATTGTAGTTCTCTTTTTAAAATTTTCAGGATCCTTCATACTGTTTTCCACAGTGGCTGTACCAACTTACATTCCTACCAGCAGTGCAGGAGGGGTCCCCTTTCTCCATATCCTCAACGGCATTTGTTATCTCTTGTCTTTTTGTTGATGGCCATTCTAACAGGTGTGAGATGATTATATCACTGTGGTTTTAATTTGCATTTCTCTAATGACTAGTGATGTCAAGCTTCTTTTTCTGTACCTGATGGCCTTTTGTCTGTCTTCTTTGGAGAAATATCTCTTTGGGTCCTTTGCCCATTTTTTGATTGGGTTATTTGTTTTTTTATTTGAGTCGTGTGAGTTCTCTGTATGTTTTGGGTATTAATCTGTTATCAGCTATATGGTTTGCAAATATTTTTTCCCATTCTATAGGTTGTCTTTTCACTTTGTTGATGGTTTCCTTTGCTGTGCAGAAGCTTTTTAGCTTGATGGAGTTCCACTTGTTTATTTTTGATTTTATTGCTTGTGCTTTTGGTATCAAATCCGAAAGAATCATCACCAAGACCCATGTCAAGGAACTTTGTTCCTATGTTTTCTTCTAGGGGTTTTATGGCTTTAGGTCTTATGTTTAAGTCTTTAATCCTTTTTGAGTTAATTTCTGTGAGTGATGAAAGGTGTAAGCTACGGGTTCAGTTTCATTCTTTTACATGTGAGTATCCAATTATCCTATAACCATTTGTTGAAAAGACTGTCTTTTCTTCATCGAGAGCTCTTGGTTCCCTTGTCATATATTAACTGACCACGTATGCTTGGGTTTATTTCTGGGATTTCACAGAAACTTAAAGATTTATTTATTTATTTATGATGCCATTTTATTATAAAATCTCGCTTACCATTATTCTGGTTTAATTATTTAACAAAAATCTTTCACAGACTCAGCATTTCTTTGCACATTTAATGCCAAGAAACACAGAAAGAGCTGAACTAAACTACCAAAGCTTTTTACTTTTTGACCTAAACTGCCAAAGATTTTAACTTTTTGCTTGCCAAAAACTGAAAGTAGGTTTCTTTCTTTTAAATTTGCCATTTATTAAATCTGAAGACTGCTAAAAGGATATTTCTTTCTGGATATTGACTTTCAGGGATGGATTCCAGTGAGAGATGAGACGGTAGGACTTAGTGAATAAGGTGGAATTTGGAGAGTTGCAACAAGTTCTTAAGGCCCCTGGAGATTGCTTAATTCCACTGAATTGAGGTGATTTTGTGTAGGCATCTGTGAATGTGTATGATGGGTGAATGTTGGTTTGGATGTCTCATGATGTTTAAGAGTTAAAAATTAATAGCTCATACTGTTATTTTCAGGAGCTGGTGATGATACACGAACTTGGGGGCCACCTTTTGTGGGGACAGAAAGTACTTATTTCCTCAGTGTTAATCGAAATAAAAAAGTAAGAATATAATTTCTTTCTTTGTTTTTTTTAATATAATTCTTTTGTAATAACAAAACTTTTGATATTACCTTGGCTCATTCATTTCTATCCTTTCCTTGTATATATAATTAGTACTTAAAAGAAGGTGAAATTTTATTCATTCACTAGTTACAAAATAGAAACAAGAGAGCTTTTTACTAATTTTCCTTCTCTACTAACTTATTTCATGAGAATTTATGATGGTTTATAATGGAATAATTTTATTAAAGAGAGAAATCATTTGATTCTTTACATTTTATTCTTTCAGAGATTGCTAATTGCCTAACACTTGGTATTATTATTTGAAAAAATTTTACTAGAATCCTTGCTATCATCCTAATATATCTCCATTGCAGATAAAAATCAGTAACGATAATTCAAATGCTTCTTCATGAGGAAAATACACTTTCAGAGGAGAACATATATGAATGGCTTCCTTATTGAACTGTCAGTAATATGAAAACCTTTTTATTATTTTAATATATATATTTTAATTTTTAGAGTATAGCTGTTAATATCAAGGATCCCAAAGGGGTGAAAATCATCAAAGAGGTACAGTATGCTCTATGGAAGATATCTTACCTCCTGGGTTGTAACTGGGGATTTGAACATGAGTTAAAGTGTTTTATTTTTTTTTTATTTATTTTTTTTTTTTAAAGATTTTATTTATTTATTTGACAGAGAGAAATCACAAGTAGGCAGAGAGGCAGGCAGAGAGAGAGGAGGAAGCAGGCTCCCTGCTGAGCAGAAAGCCCGATGTGGGGCTCGAACCCAGGACCTGGGATCATGACCTGAGCTGAAGGCAGCGGCTTAACCCACTGAGCCACCCAGGCGCCCCGAGTTAAAGTGTTTTAAAACTTTATTTCATTGGCAATCGCTAATTTTCCTGTAAACGCCATTTAAGAATTTAACTTTACATTTATTGTAAGTGAAATTTGCTTTCTAATTTCTTATATGTTTTGTATAATATTTCTCTACCCTGTGAAAGTTTTCAGTCATAATACTATCTACTGTTGACTGAATGCCTACTCTGCATCACTCTTAGGCTTAGACACTTTCCATATATTATCCCCTCAGATCCTCAGGATTTGACTTGTAAATGGGTATTAGAATCCTCATTTTCATGGGAGGGCAGTAAGTCTCATGGGCTCAGGGGATGCTCCGAAGAGGACATAGCTTGTAAAGGGAAGAGCTGAGGTTTGAACCCGGTGATGGGGGTCCCATCACTGGAGAGCCCAAGCTTTTCTAACCTTTATTCAGATGGCTAATATGTCCAGAGCTGATTTCAGCATCTTTGCTTGAGGGGCAAGATTGGGTACTGGTTTGGTGCACCCTCGTTCTCCACTGCGGAGGTTCTAATCCTTTTTTCTTTACTTACTAGCTTATGTGACTTCAGGTAGGTGATGTCAGCTTTTTTTTTTTTTTTTTTTAAGATTTTCTTGCCTTAAAGATTGTTCTTGCCTTAAGTCTCCTCTTTCTGTTCTGTCTCTCAGTATCATCTTCAGTGGTCGCAGTTCCTGCCTCTTTGCTTCTATTTCAGAGCATTCTGATATTTTATCCTAAGTAGTCAAGGTTTCAGATTTGATTGAGCAAATACTTTGCGGTTTCATTAGAACTTCTCAATAGGTGGAATTCATAACTCTTGCTACTAATGCGTAAGTGTGCTTTTGAGTATTTTAGGACTGCATGTATGATTCTGACCAAAGTAAACAAATCTCCAGGACTTCCTTCTTGCTGTCCTTGGATCTTGCCAGTCTTTTACTATTCTACTTTCAATTACATTTACATTCTACCTTGAATTAACTTTCTTTTTCTTTTTTTTTAATAATTAAAAAAATTGTTTTTAAGGATTTTATTTATTTATTTGACAGATTGGGAACAGAAGCAGGGGAAGTGGGAGAGGGAGCAGCAGGCCTCCCACCAAGCAGGGAACCTGATGCGGGGCTTGATCCCAGGACCCTGGGATCATGGCCTGAGCCAAAGGCAGATGCCTAATGACTGAGCCACCGAGGCGCCCCTATAATTAAAAAATTTTTAGGGGCTCCTGGGTGGCTCAGTGAGTTAAGCCGCTGCCTTCGGCTCAGGTCATGATCTCAGGGTCCTGGGATCGAGTCCCGCATCGGGCTCTCTGCTCAGCAGGGAGCCTGCTTCCCTCTTTCTCTCTCTCTCTCTCTCTCTCTGCCTGCCTCTCTGTCTACTTGTGATCTCTCTCTGTCAAATAAATAAATAAAATCTTTAAAAAAATTTTTAAATTTATTTGACAGAGATAGAGACAGCGAGAGAGGGAACACAGGCAAGGGGGGTGGGAGAAGGAGAAGGAGGCTTCCCGCTAAGAAGGGAGCCTGATGCGGGGCTTGATCCCAGGACTATGGGATCATGACCTGAGCTGAAGGCAGATGCCCAGGCGCCCCTGAATTAACTTTCATTATGAGCTTGATTTCTCTTCATGTCTGATTGATAATAGTAAAGTACATTTCAAGTCATATTAAACTTAAATAAATTGTATGGGGACATTATTGATGTCTATTGCTTTTAGCTAGTTCCATGTTTTTAGCTTTTAGCATGTTATATATCTTATTGCCTAGGGAAAAAATTATTTTTTGCCTAATCTTTTTAAGCTTTCTGGCATCGATTCCTCTTTCAGCTTAAGAGTAGCAAAACAACCTCTTTATTCAGACCATGATGGCTATGATTGCTAATATACTGAGTTTAGTTTATGGAAACAGTTCCAAAGTAGCATACAAAGCAATCAGCTGGATACATGAGAGCTTCAAAAAATATGACTCCTTTTGTCTACTAGGCTAACTAGAAACAGCTTGAGCAAAAAACAAAACTCTGCTTAGAAAATCTATGTAGAGCCCAGTATTTTCATAACAATATGATTTATTAACTTTCTGACATATCATTTATATTTCAAATAATTCTCTATGTTAACTAGTTGACAGTCACAATATCCATATTGTGTGCACATGAGATGTTCCAAAGAGCAATGTCATGGATTTTATTTTCTTTCTTTCTTTCCTTTTTTTTTTTTTTTTTAAGATTTTATTTATTTATTTGACAGAGAGAGAGAGATCACAAGTAGGCAGAGCAGCAGGCAGAGAGAGGGAGAATCAGGCTCCCCGCTGAGCAGAGAGCCCGATGCGGGGCTTGAACCCAGGGTCCTTGGGACCATGACCTGAGCTGAAGGCAGAGGCTTAATCCTCTGAGCCACCCAGGCGCCCCTGGATTTTATTTTCTTATGAGAAATTCAGATGTACAAAATAGCTGAAAGAAGAGTATAATGAACTTTCTTCAACCCTATGCCTAGATGTAATAATGTTAATATATTGCTGTATTTGCTTATTTACATATGTATGCCTATGTGTGTGTTTGTGTGTGTATTTTTAAACTATTTTATTTTTCTAAGATTTATTTATTTATTTATTTAAAGAGTGTGAGCAGGGAGAGGGGCAGGGGAAGAGGGAGAAAGAATCTCAAGCAGACTCTGCACTGAGCACGGAGCCCAGTGTGGGGCTTGATCATGACTCTGAGATCATGACCTGAGCCATAATGAAGAGTCTGATGCTGAACTAACTGAGCCACCCAGACGCCTCGTGAACTATCTTAAAGTGGAAGATAGGAAACTTTGTGCTGAAATCTTTCAGAATACTTTTCCTGCCAATAAGCATTCTTTGATATAACATTTAAAAATTATTTTGTGATTTCTTTAGCAATGTGGTTAAATTATTATCATCACTTTCCTTTCTATTTCTGATCTCCACTGTGTTCTTAAATGACGTGTAACAAAGAGTCAGAATTAGATACTCTGTATTTCAACTTAATTTTAGTTCTTATTTACTCTTTGGCTAGATGGAGGATTTTCTTTCTTCTGTTTTAGAAAGAAAAAGATAGTAGCTTCTCTAACTCATACAAAATTGTGCTTGCTTTTTATTCTGGGCCAGATTCTAGGATAGTTTTTTAGGTGATTTGTGAGTGCTTAGATGAGGAAGAGGTGATCAGCAGTAAAACTGGAAACCAGTCCTCTCACTTTATTTCTTAGTAGATTATTGTATTTGGGAAATGCCAGTAAATAGCTGGGCTCCTTTGAAGCAATTGTCATACATAACACTTGTAGTTAGAGTGGGGAGCAGTGTAACTCAGAGGGAGTTTTCTGATGTTATGATTTTAGCACCCTTTTTTTTTTTTAAAAGATTTTATTTATTTAATTGAGAGAGAGAGAGTGAGAGAGAGTGAGCAGTGGGGAGGAGCAGAGGGAGAGAGAGAGAGAGAAAGAGAAGCAGACTCCTTGCGAAGCAGGAAGCCCAATGCAGGCTCCATTCCAGGACCCGGAGGCTGTGACCTGAGCCGAAGTTAGATGCTTAACTGCCTGAGCCACCCAGGCACCCCAGATTTTAACATTCTTGTGTTAGAATTTTTATGAATGATTAGCTGAAGCTTTAGGAAACATACATGATCTTGAAATGGCTGAATATCCTGAAACAGAGAAGGAGAGAATAAGTTGAATGACAGGGCAACTAAGAATCAATATCTAGCAAGTGGCTAAGACATCTTTAAAATAAATATTTATAAAATGGAGAAAAGAAAAATTTCTGCACTATATACTTTTTTGGGATAGTTCTTTATAAATATTAGAATGCACACATACTCAGTTCTTGGGTAAGCTTAAAAACTATTGTGCATCTTTATGAGTAGAAATGTGTAGCTCGGGGCACCTGGGTAGCTCAGTGGGTTTAGCTTCTGCCTTCGGCTCGGATCATGATCTCTGGGTCTTGGGGTTGAGCCCCGTGTCAAGATCTCTGCTCTGGGGACACCTGGGTGGCTCAGTTGGTTAAGCAGCTGCCTTCGGCTCAGGTCATGATCCCAGCGTCCTAGGATCGAGTCCCACGTCAGGCTCCTTGCTCGGCAGGGAGCCTGCTTCTACCTCTGCCTCTGCCTGCCCCTCTGTCTGCCTGTGCTTGCTCTCTCTCTCTCTTTGACAAATAAATAAATAAAATCTTAAAAAAAAAAAAAGATCTCTGCTCTGGCGGGGAGCCTGCTTCCCCCTCTCTTTCTGCCTGCCTCTCTGCCTGCTCTTTTCCTCTCTGTCAAATAAATAAATAAAATCTTAAATAAAAAAAAAAGAAATGTGTAGCTCTTAAACTCACCTGTTCCATATTTTTTTAATAATGTGATAGAGCCAGACTGCCTGGTGCTCTGAGCACAGCTCTTGTTAGTTAAAAGAATCTTTGTCATGTTATACAAATACTAATACATGTTCATGGAAAAAAATTAATATTTTACTATATCATGTCAAATCTCTTTATACCCTTGTATACTCATTTTGCCCGAAAACACGAGATAATGTAATGTATGTTGTTTTTTAATCTGCTTATTTTGAGTTCTTTATAATATTTTTAATACTTTTTTATTAGCATAACTTATTTGTTTTATTTATTTTTTTGTCTTACCCAAACAGTGAATTTATTTGTGGTCCATCTGGATACTTAATGTAGATTGAGATGTGATTTAGAGTTCCACAAAGTCTGAAAATACAAATAGTCTACACAGTTAAAATGTTTTTTGTTGTGGTAGAATATATAGAACATAAAAATTTCCGTTTTAACCATTTTTAAGTGTACAATTCAGTGGCATTAGTTACATTCATGTGAATCACTACTGCTATCTGTTTCTAAAATATTTCATCACCCCAGACAGAAACTGTACCTATTAAGCAATAGCTCTCCACTTCCCTCTCCCTCCAGCCCCTGATAAACTCTCATCTACTTTGTGTCTCTATGGATTTGCCTATTCTGAATATTTTATATAAGTGAAATCATACAAGTTTTATACTTTTGTGTCTGGTTAATTTCACTGAGCATAATGTTTTCAAGGTTTGTCCATGTTGTACCATGTATCAGAACTTCGTTCTTTATTTAATGGCTGAATAATATTCTGCTTTATGGGTACATTTGTCCATTGATGGGCACTTGGATTATTTCCACCTTTTGGCTATTGTGAGTTATGGTGCTATGAACATTTGCATACAAGTACCTGTTCGAGTCTCTGTTTTTGGTTCTTTTGAGTATATACCTAGGAGTGGTATTGCTGGGTCATAGGGTAATTCTATGTTTAACTTCTTGAAATACCCACACAGGGTTTTTTAAAATTAAAAATAATTCATTAAATGCCCTTTGCGTAAGGTACGACATAACGCACTGTGCAGAATGTATGCAACGAGAGCTGATCCATGTAGAAACTTATATGTGTTTGATGTAGTTTGTGTCCTTTTCTGCCGGCAGGAGTGCCTACACGGGGTTACCGTTTAATAGTTTTTTTTTATGGTTAATTAAATACATTTAGAACTTTTTGGAAAGGAAGCATCTGAAAAGTATAAAAGGATTTCTGAATCACATTTATATGTATTAAGTGCCCATATGTGCAGGTTGTAATGAGGAATATTACATAGTAAGGATGGAGAATAGCAAAGACATTGTATCTAGTTTCTTCTACAGGATTTAAGATGTTTTTCATATATTTTAATTTATTTACATATTTATTTATATGTATTATGTAAATATATAATAAATAAATAAATATAATATAATATATTAATAATATAAAATATATAATAAAATAAAATAATATATAATAAAATAAATATATATTTATTTATTTAAAGGTTTTTCTATTTACTTATTAGAGACAGAGAGAGACAGCGGGAGAGGGAACACAAGCAGGGGTAGTAGGAGAGGGAGAATCAGGCTTCTCTCCAATCAGGGAGACCGATGCGGGACTCGACCCCAGGACCCTGGGATCCTGACCTGAGCCAAAGGAAGCCGCTTAATGACTTAATGACCAGGCGGCCCTGTTTTTCATATATTTTTGTACATGTATTTTAACTTTTTTTTTTTTTTAAAGATTTTATTTATTTTTTTGACAGAGAGAAATCACAAGTAGGCAGAGAGGCAAGCAGAGAGAGAGGAGGAAGCAGGCTCCTTGCAGAGCAGAGAGTCCGATGTGGGGCTCAATCCCAGGACCCTGAGATCATGACCTGAGCTGAAGGCAGAGGCTTAACCCACTGAGCCACAGGCGCCCCTATTTTAACTTTTCTATCTAAGCTACTTGAGACTATATTAGGACCATGTAACCTAGATATTTCTTACATTTAATGTAAGCATATCCCCTTAACACCATGCTATTTGCTGAATATTTTAGTGGCCATTGTCTTATTGTCCATAATATCTCATAGTAGTTGACCCACTGGTGCCTTTATATTCATTTAATTCTACTTTGTAATTCTACTTTTCCTGTCATTTTTCTGGACTATTACAATGTGAGGATCAACTGTGTTTACTAAAATCCAAATTGTGTCATGTGGGGGTTTGTTCAAAGGTTGGAAGTCCCTTAAGAAGTCTGACTCATCTTCCCCTCCTTCCTCAGCTTGCAGCTGTTTGTGATGTATTTGTGGAAAACTACGTCCCTGGCAGGCTGTCTGCTATGGGCCTTGGATATGAAGATATAGACAAGATTGCCCCTCACATCATCTACTGTTCCATCACAGGTATTTTGATCCCACACTCTTGTCAGTGAATAGATTTTCTAGTTAGTTGGCTTTCCTTGTTCCTGTAAGAAACCTCTTGCTTGTATTGGTTTTCTTGAAGTGATTCTGTTCTCCCTAGCCCTCGCTCTCTAATTAATCATGAGAGGTAACCGAAATGAAGATTTTTCATGTATTTATTGGCTGTTTGTATTCTTGAATTGTACGCCTGTAGTTTTGTTTGTTTTTGCAAATTTTTCTATTGATATTTTACAGACATTTACAAAATACTGTTATTAATTCATACATAGAATTGTAGGTGAAATATTAATTGGCTTTAGGGTAGCGCAGGAAATCAACATATCCCCTTAATTTATTCAAAGGTGTTAAGCCGGGTGAAGGAAAAGAGTTCAGTAAAGTCTTCCAGATTGTTTAGCTGGGGAATGTTGTGGGTGTTTGTGTGTGTGTATATATTAGGTCCAAGGAAAAAAGGTTATTATTTGAGTTAATTTAATCTATTTTAAAGCACTTATCTATTAATTAGGGAGGTAATATAGAAAAGTGGCTGTGAAAATTCTTAGTTACATTAATAGTTTTTATCAGAAAAAATTATAGAATTTTCACTCTTCATTCATCTACCGAATATTTACTGCAGGCGTGTGATTTGCAGGGCAGTATTCTAAGGTTCTGGGATGTGGCAGTGGATAATACATGGAGGTTTGCCTTATGTTATAGGTTAAGGAGATAGATAGTAAATAAATAAATGTATTCTTTAAGTTTTTTATTTTTTTGTAATTGAGCCCATTAATGATAAGGGCTAAAGAGAAATAAAGTAGGGCAAGAGGGATGGGGTGAGGAGGAGCTATTTTATACTTGGAGATAAGTGAAAGCTCCCTTGGGGGTGCCCGGGTGGTTCAGTTGGTGAAGAGTCTGCATTTCGCTCAGGTCATGATCCTGGGGTCCTAGGGTTGAGCCCCACAGTGAGCTCCATGCTCAGCAGGGAGCCTGCTTTTCTCTCTCCCTCTGCCTCTCCTGCCCATCCCCCCACACCCACTCATGCTTTCACTCTCTCTCTCTCTCAAATGAGTAAATAAAATGCTAAAAAAAAAACAAAAAAGAGAGAAGTCTCCCTCGATAAATTGACATTTGAGCAGAGACCTGAAGTAAAGGAGTGAATCATACAGATATTGGCAATGATGGCTTCAGGAAGGGGAAACAGCAGGTGCAAAGGACCTAAGGCAGGAATGTGGGGGGCATGTTTGAGGACCATCGAGGATGGCTGAAGCAGGGAACAAGGGGAATGTAACAGTAAGAAAAACAGGAAGGTATTGGTTAGCAAGATCACGAAGAGCTTGTTGGCAACTCTTAAGGAATTTGACTTTTACTTTGAATAAGTTTGTAAGTTAATGGAGTATTTTGAACAGAAGAATGATAATGATCTGACGTATTTTTATTTTTTTATTTTTTAAAAATTTCACCTGTTTATTTATTTATTTATTAACATATAATGTATTATTTGTTTCAGGGGTACAGGTCTGTGAATCATCAGTCTTACACAATTCACAGCACTCACCATGGCACATACCCTCCCTAATGTCCATTACCCAGCCACCCCATCCCTCCCACCGCCCTCCACTCCAGCAACCCTTAGTTTGTTTCCTGAGATTAAGTCTATTATGGTTTATCTTCCTCTCTGGTTTTGTCTCATTTCATTTTTTCCTCTCTTCCCCCATGATCCTCTGCCTTTTTTCTCAAATTCCATGTATCAGTGAGATCATATGATACTTGTTTTTCTCTGATTGACTTATTTTGCTTAGCATAATACCCTCTAGTTCCATCCACGTGATCTGATGTATTTTTAAAAGTATCACTTTTCTTTTCCTTTCCTTCTCCTAATGTCCTGAGAAACAAAAACTGAGGGTTTGGGAGGGGAGAGGGGTAGGGGCTTGGGTGAGCCTGGTGGTGGGTATTAAGGAGGGGACGTATTGCATGGAGCATTGGGTGTGGTACATAAACAATGAATCTTGGAACACTGGGAAAAAAAGCACCCCCCCCCATAAAAGGACCACTTTAGCTACTGTGTTGACAACAGACAGTAGAGGACAATGTTACAAGTGGAAGAACAATTGTGAAGCTGTTAAACTACTCCAGGTTAGAGATACAGGCAGCTTGAATTAGGGTAGGAGTGGTGGGGGTAGTTGAGGAGTGATAGGATTAAAAATGTTTCTTTATTAGTCATAAAGTAATAATAACCAAAATACCCCCATTTCTATGCATTCAGGTTAATTGAGATATAATAATGCTTTGACTATGACATATTACTTTAGTATAAATGATGCTTTTCACAGTATAATTATGTGGTGCTTTTTTAATGTAGATTAAGCTATAACTGCAATGTTTGGTCGATACTATTTTAGAGGGGATGATTGTTAACTTCCCTACCGAATCAGCAGGAGAGCCAGTGTCTGTAAATAGTAGATGACTCTTTGCCACTAAATCTGACTCTTTCTTAAATGTACTATTTTATAGATATGTAATCATACTTCAGTCTTTGTGTCTGAATATCAATATTTATATGTGTCAGAAAGAGGGAAAGGTTTTTCCTTAAAATTTCACAGTCTATTGGAAATGTGGAGGTCTAAATTACTAAAATGGGTAAAATATTATCTTCACATTACCTTGTTATCATAAAATGCTACATAACTTGCAAATGCACTATCTTCAATGACAGTGAATATTTATTTCTCATTCCCATGAATTTGCATTGGCTGAGGTTCAGCTGATCCAGACTGGTTAGATTTGGCTCCAAGTTTCAGGGGTGGGGGGCCTGCTGTGCTGTACCTGTCTTTCACACTCCTTGGACCAGTGGCCACCAAAGGCGTGTTTTCCTCATAATGAAAGGTAAGAGTACAAGAGAATGAGCCTTACCTCACAAGCACATTTAAAACATTAGCTACATCCCATTGGCTTGCATTCCTTTGGTCAAGGCAAGTCACTCGACTAAGCCCAATACCACTGCATGGTGAAATATGTTCTACTCTTGTGGCAGGATCTACAGAGTCATATGGCAAGGCATGGATTCCAAGAGGGGTAAAGATAGGAATAATAATGTATTTTATCACATCCCCGAGCCAAACAAAAGTGCTAATCCACTTGGGGGGCACCTGGGTGGCTCAGTCAGTTAAGCATCTAACTTATCTCAGGTAATGATATCAGGGTCCTTGGATGGAGCCCCAGGTTGGACTGCCGGCTTCCCACTCGGCAGGGAGTCTGCTTCTTCTCTCCCTCTGCCCCTTCCCCTGCTCCTTCACTGTCCCTCAAATAAATACATAACATCTAAAAAAAAGAAAAGCTACTCCACTTGGGAAGCCTCACAGTTCCCAAAGTTTCACATCTATAACTAACTACAGTTAAAGCCAGCAGTTCTTCTGGGTCTTGGCTTGTGGTTAGAGGATCTCTGCATTTTCTTCCAGCTCTCAGATCCCGTGTTCACATTTTAGTGTGTCGAAGGGCCCTGGAGATAGATTGTATAATGTGGAGATTCTCAGCTATGGGGAGAGTGCAGATTTGATATGCTTTTCGGTGATAGGGATGGGGGAATAAGGGGGTGATGGGGAGAGGCACTTACAGTCTGAACAAGCACCTTCCATAATTCTGTAATCCTTTACATCCCCATCTCCTGACAATCATGAGAAAAACACCCATACAATTCATTCTCCTTTATTTCCTGATAAGGAAAGAGGTCCGGAATGTCCATGAGACCTCTGGTCACACGGCTATTTCATGGCAGATGGTTTTACTGTTCAGGCCTCTTGACTAAATATTAAGTGCCTCTGTGCTTTCCATATTTAGATGTCTATCATTGTTGTATGTTACATTGTTATAACTTACATTGTCAAGTGATGACAAGGCACTGAACAGCTTGACTTGAGAAGAATATAGTCTTGGTCTTCTCTTTCATTTGTTGCTAATCATATTTACTCGTCAGGGAGTCTAAATGTCAACGGAGTCTTTGGAAGCGGAGGTCGTTTATGAGTCATGAATCTGTGTGTATATAAAGTAAAGGCCATCTCTTTTGTAAAAGTTTGATATTCTTGGTAATCAGTGTTTGTTTTTTGATTTTTTTTTAAATAAGACTGATTAGATCAGTCTAAAGTTGCACATGTTATGATTGGGATCCTAGACTTCCCTGATGTTTCCCAGTGGCATTGGTATTCTGTCAGTGCTGTCCAAGCCCAAATAGTCTGTTCTCACTCACATGTTGGCCTTACTGCTGATGAGAGTAATCTTAGAATGGTTGGGAGATTTATTTTAATGCACTCTGACAGTTGTGTGGTTGAGATTGCCTCAGTCTGTGAAATCTGGTCTGCAGGACAAAAATGCTCGACTGATCACAAGGGAGGAAGAACCAGATTATTTTTGTTAGCAAGGTCCTCTTACCATTTCGGAGTATGAACATTAGGGGGCAATGTTTAAAAAGCTATCATTCACTAGGAATTACTTTTTGAGAAAACTCATGTGTCCTCTGTACCAGTGGATAAAGAAAATCTCTGAAAGGGCATATTTATATTCTTAAAGAAGTTTTGTTTTTTAAACTGACCATTCTCTACCTCTTTATACTTTTAGTATAATGATATTCTCCATGGCACTTTAATTTTAAGTTGTACCCTCTTTCCTTTGTTTCTTCTGAGCATGTTATTAATTATAAAAAGTTACCAGTAAAAATCCTCTCTACCACATTTAAAAATATTTACTTTTTTTCTTCTTATTAACTTCATTGCTCTTTTTTCCTAGAAGGATAAACATTGCATTATATTATTGACCAGACTAATTTTGTGGTAGGAACATTGTGTATGCCCTTTAATAATTTTTTGGGGGATTGGGAAAGGGCTTTGCCAAGTACCTTTTTGATTTTTGTGAATTCCCCAATGGCATTTTCTTAATCTCTGTCCTTGTATGGACAGATTACAGGATTCTGCTTGAGGATAGGTCCTCAAGAGGGACATCAGAACTCATTATCAGAG